TAAGTAGGTGCCGCGTATTTTAATAGGCTAACATATTTTGTAAAACCATTAGACAAAGAATTTTCTATTCTGTCATTTTACAGATAATATTTTTTGCTTTAATCTCGGTTGATTTAAAACAACCTTCAGAACACTCTATTTATTTTAAAATATCAAAGAATATTATAGCCTATAGTAGGTATATACCTACTTAATAATTAGCATATCGCCATATCGGTGACTAGCCCGGTCCAGGTAGATTGCAATATCCCATAGCCAATATAGGTATAGTTTAAGCAGTTGTCATTTACTTTTTTAAATAAAAAAAACTTCACGCATTATTGTTGGGATTGAATTTAGTTCTAAAACGATCCATCTTACATAGTATACTGTAAAGTGTAAATACTGTGCACGAATTGTTATTTGTACCTACAACATTGAATTTAACACCTTATAATATGTATCTATAATGTTTATAGAGTACTAGAGACTAGAGTATAGGTATAGACATACTATACTATTACAGTATTACAGTATATTACCCTATGACCTATGTAGTATGTATGTATGTATGTATGTATGTACATTATAATATTATGACCTATATTTCACGTACAAAAATTATGTGAAACAACATATTATATAATCTCGTGTAATCTTAAATCTTTGCTATTTATGTAATTTAAAATACAAACAATTTTGTATGTGCAGTTATGCGTTATGCTTATTGTGAATATTATAAACAACAAACAAATTCTTCTTCATTGATAATTCATCAATCAATATTCTATACACAGGATAGTTATAATTTATCATTCGCTTTCCCTGTGAACTAAGACCATAACATAATACTATCTGCCGTGCTCTGAATAATTATTATCCTTATCTCGAAAGTGCCAATTTCGGCTCAATCGACGAAGAATTATTAATGTGAATTTTTACTCGTTCCTGTATAAATTAAATAAAATACATATTATTTTGTTTTTTTTTTACTTATTTAAATTTGAATGTAATGTCTTGTTGTTGTTAACAAATTTGCTCGTAGTTTAAACAAATAAAACATGAATAATTTATGAAAATATTAAGTTACAGTAGGTAGCTAAGTAGCCAGTAAGTAGATATTTTGTATAACAAATTACCTACGCATTGTTGTATAAATAAAACAACCTTATATTTTTTTTCTTAACATTTTAATTATTCATAAATTGTTAGTTAATAGGTTTTAATATTTAAATCTTAAAAAATGAAGTACATATAGTCAATATTATAGTGAATTGACTAATTTAAGAAAACAATATTAATATGCAACACAATTCACAACACATTTTTTTTGTAGATAGTTATATACTTTGATACTGAACCCCAATATGTAAATTAGTTAATTACTTCCCAGTTATCAGTTATCAGTAATCACCAATTATTTATTATTAATAGAAAAGATAAAGTCATAATGTGTTAATAAAACAAATGTTAAGATATTAAAAATTCTTATCTGGGATAATTTCCTCAAGAAAATAATTAAAACTAATTATTACAATTCTTAAAAAAAATATTTTCTAAAATAAATGTATTATATTAAAAAAAATAATTAAATTATAAGTTAAAATAATTTAAACATACCTATGAGTATTTATATAAATGTCACACAATATGTTCATGTTTAAAATGGCACGTGGTTTTTTTCAATTTGTTCCGTTAGATTTACTACAAAAATATTATCAGGTTTCAGTTTGTAAATTATAAATATAATTTAATTTGTTGTAAGCTCAAAGATGGTTTTATCGTACAAAAATATACATGAATAAAACTATATTCATGTATTTATATTGCTACGTAATTAAGAGTTAGGCAAAACTAAACATATTTAAATATTAACTAGATATTCACTAAACTATTTATTGATTATTAATTATTATATTTCAAATTGTATAGTAATCATTACTTAATCAATAAAAAAAATAGTATCAAACTACCGATGCCTAATAATGATATTATAATTTATTATATATTTGAACAGATTTTCAAACCATGAGTTTGAATACATTTTTGTATATAACTATGGACAAATAATGTAATAAATTAAGATTAAAAAAATGAACTACTAAGTACTAAGCCACTAACGTATCATAATTTATTTATTCCAGTTGGGAAATATCAAGAGTTGTTTGGATCTTTTGGAGACACTGGGTGTAGCTTTGGATGGTATTACGGCCCATGACGTCAAGGAAGGTAACTTGAAAGCCATCCTGGGTTTATTCTTCGCTCTTTCAAAGTACAAACAGAAACAGAAACAACAGCAGAAATCTGAGGGCCCCAAGTCTAGAATACCTACAGATATGAAGCAATCAAGGTAATGTTAAACGAAACTTGAGTGATAAATCGTGTTAGAACGAATAATAGAGTATATAATAATATAATATATATAAGATGTTTAGAAGAGTGGGGGGAAAAATGAAAATAAATTACGTCATTGTGGATGTAGCAAGGGCGTGGACCCTTCATCCCTTTTTACCCCAACAGACGGTGTTCAGTTCCAATGGGGAATTCGAACAGTGCGCGTCGCAATCAGTCCAGGAGTGTCCCGACGTCTCCTGAACTTAGATTAAGGTTCCGGTTAAAATCGCCTTATTATATTATTATTACAATAGACAATAGTCGGCGTTTTGAATGTTTTGATATTTTCTTTATATACGCGCATGTACACACTATTTTAGATGAAGTTATTGTTAATTTATATTTTCTATTGTTGTATATAGGCTTCCTGGACCCACCCTACACTCAGGCAGTATTACGAGTATACCGACCCCGTTCGCTCAGAGATTTCATCAATTGCAAAATACACCTGCCGCCAACAGTGAGTATATACCTGTACCTACCTGCCACGCTCAATGTGCATTTGAGTGGGACGTGGGAACTTTTATTAAATTGTATTGTCATATAGTACCTACTTACCAATTACCATATTTCATACACTCATGATATTTATAAATACCATATACATAGGTGCATAGGTCCATAAAATACTAAGTTAATGAACTTTATTCTGTGTGATAAATATTTGTAGAACATTTTTAACATAATAATATAATAATATATACTATTGGGTATACCATGATACTATTTCATTCACGAGCATAAAAATATTGAACTATTGAAGTCTCTTCATATTGTATTATATTCAATAAGTAGGTACACAGGATTACAGGAAATTCAAATATTTTTATTTGCATAACTTACTTAGTAATACATACTTAGTTTTTGTTACTAACTTGTGTTTGAAACCCTAACATTCTTTTTTTTAGTTAATTGTGTGATCTATCCATTAAACTAAGTATTTAATAATTAATAGGACCCGACAGACGACAGTAATTGTTTTATAAATTGATGATAGTAAACTAGTTAAGTATGAAGTACCTAATCCTACCTTTTTTTATTTTTATACATACCTAATACGAGCTAATATACCTATCTCATATCTGTTAAACTTATCTTAAGCTCTTAATATACCTATTATTTTGCCTTCTGTAGTTCTGTGTCCATATAGGAACTCACCTATATTATTACTTATCAACTCGAGAAAATTTTTTGAAATCTGCAATCAATTTTCACCTAATAATATGTTAACTTATACTATTTGTCTATTTACCAAATATTTGTATTTTTATTTTTAATAACTACATCTCTAAAAGTTAAAACCTAAAAATTCCTACGGAGTATCATATAATATTTTAATGGTTTATTAGTACTTCAGTATATACTAGGTAAGTGTTCAATAGAGAATACTCATTAAAGATCGTAGTCCTATTTATATTCTGAAGTGATGAAAAAATAAATATATTTTAAAGGTCAAAGTTAACCTCGAACAAGTATAATATTATCTTAACTACCTACCTAACATTTTATTAGTGTCCATTGCCCGTCTAAAAGATGCTCTGCTCATGCCTAACAATTTGTTTTTATTTTTGAATAGGTAAGTACTTATAATGGTCTTATATACAACTATACAAGTCATTTTCGCTATTCGCCATCCCACATACAAATTTTAATTTAAAATTCATTATTTTATATTATATTTTATTGTCACGTGTTCTAAATTCATCTGGATAAAATTTTGTATTATAATATATTGTTATACGCTTTAACCGGAAACATACACAAATAATTAAACCTTTTGAATGAAAAATGGAAAAAGGTCCACGCATGAAAATTCGAGGTAAGAATAGTAGGTATTCACTATTCAATCTGTGAGTTCAAAAGTTCAATAATATTAGGGAAACACTCAAACACGTTTCAAAATATAATGTTGATTGTATACACAATGTGTACATATTTTAAACTTAACAATATTCCGAAAACAACATATTTAAATACTAATTGAATAAAATATCCTACAACCCCGTTATGTCATTATGTTTTCTCGAGTTCATTTGAGTTCGAGTCACCCTTTCTTCCATTGTTATATTTCAATGGTAATCATAATTATATTACCCGCCTTCAGTTTAGTCCAGTCGTCCCACCCCTTCCCACATTTCCTACAAATGACGTCATCCAATGCATAATATGCCTTACGCCTGTTGCTTTCTTATCACACGTTTCTCTTGCGTTTCCAATTCTTATCAAACGTTTCACTTGAGTTTCCAGTTCTTATCTGCCTCGCCTGTAGGCTGTAGGCTGCAGTCCGTGACATGTGTACCATACTACTGTGTCGGCGTTGAAGTTGTGCTTGGCCTACTATCTATGTTTTAATTTTTATAAGTTTTATTTTTATTAGTAATGATAACCTTCTCTTCCTAGAAAAAAAAATCACTAACATAATAACAACTTTTATTTTCACGATACTAAGTACAGTATAATGTCATACATTGTTTTATTTTTTTATTGAATAAATATATTTCCTACCACCCATATACTGATCAAAATAGTATCACTGATTAAATAAAGTTTATTCAATCTGTGATCATATTTAATTGTTTTTTCCTGAATATTTTACATTGACCTATTTCATACAATTTTTATATTTTATGAAATTTTTATCGGTCCATACACTGGAAATCAGTGTACATCACATAGTAGTTCCAGATCAACTAGTCCCCACACATTTATACCATCACCAAAAAACATCATTAGGACACCAGTTGCTTCGCCTAAAAACACAAAGTAAAAATATAATAAGTCAATGCTAGTAATGTTACTCTTAAATAAATATTGACTTGTACATTATTATTTTTCAGTCAAAAAAATGGAATGCCTGGTAAAACGAACATTGCTAGCCCATACAGTTCAGCACAAAAAAACAGTGCGTTGGTTGGAAAAGTTTAAAGCTTCACATCAAAAGGAAAAATCCAACAAACAAGGTTTTGAATAAATAATACATATTATTATACCTATATTTATATAATATTTTAAACAATAAACCTAATATATTGTAAATTTTATGTTTATTTAGTAATCAGTAGTACTAAAAGAACTTCTAGCTCGAGTGGTTTTAGTTCTGCTCGTTCAGAACGTAGTGATTCATCAAATAGTCTTTCAAATGAACCAAAACCAGTGCTTAGGTAGGTTAAATTTTCTAAAAATATATATAAAAAAAAGTTTTAATATAGTTTTAATGTATTTGTTGTAGCCTAGAAAAAAAAGAAAATTCCATAGAAGTGCCAAAACCAGTATTAAGAAAAAAAATTGTACGACCACCTGTACCATCTGAATCACGCCTATCTAAAATTAGTATTAAATCATCTACACCTCCTAAATGTGAAAATCAACAAAGGAAAAGTTTTGAGGTAAATATAGAGACATATTTAGGTACTTTGTCAATGGTTTTAATTATTATTATTTTTTAATAGATATTAAATTCAGATAAAGAAGACTTAATTAGTTCATCCACAATGGAATTATCCCAGAGTCAATCTAGACTCAGCGGTACTGGAATCCCAAAACCAGTAGCCACTGTCAAAGGAATGACAAAACCCACACACTGTGTAGCTCCAATGCAACAGACAAATTCAGAACTTAAAAAAAGTGATGACCCATTAGAAAAAAATAATGTAAAACCACTTGATATATGTAATGAACCTAAAAAACCTGAAAATGTAAGTTCTAAAAACTAATTTAAATTACAAGTTAGTTTAATTATATTTAATAATTTTAGACTTCTAGTTTAATTCTGAATGAATTAAAACATGACAAGCAAAGCTCATTTACAGAAGAAGATGATCCAGCATTAAATGTGAAACCAATGGAACCGTTATTAAGAGGATACAAAAGATCAATTATCGTACCACAACACCGGACTATACCATCAGATTTAGGTATTGGAATTATTTTCAATACATAAAAACTAAAAATTAATGTTCACCAACTTATCATAATTTTAAAAGTGTAAAATAAACTTTAATGTACCTATAATTATATTTTAAGATAAATTTAATTAAACTAAAAAGTATATATTTTGGAAAACTCAAAATTATATGACCCCCAAGATTATAATACACTAATCACTTTTAAATATAAGTAACTATTGCTTCACCAGTTTACGATATATGTATGATATAAGTTATATATACCAAAGTATAAATATTACTGATGAATGTTGATATACCATAAATTTAACACTTCTATAATAGTTATAATATTTTTTTATATAGGAGTAGCTCAAAATAACTGTATGAATGGAAATTTTCAAGAAAAACGCATTTCTGCAGATTCTGATTATGGACAACAATCTTCAGGTAAAATTACAATTGATTTATTTCTAATAGAAAGTCATAACTATTGTTGTTATTGTAAGGAAAAAATGAACAATTGATACTAATACTAGTTTTTCTCATAGGTTATGTATCAGACGGTGATGTTCTTCAGTATGATATTCAGTCGCGACAAATTCTAGCTACAGATCCAGGCTATATGTCCGAAGGACCAGCATACAATGATTCAAAGTAAGTATAGAAAAATTAAGACCATTTTCAAAAACAATTGTATTTTATTATTATAATTAAATTCTTATTTTTGTTGGTAATTAAGTAATTGACAATTGTTTAATCAAAAGTATTTCTATATGACTATATAGATAAAAGTTATTTTTTAAAATACATTAATCACAAGGATAAATGTAAATATAAAATACACCTAATATTTAGTAATAGTGTACCTATAGTATTGACTATTGACTCAACCACATAAATGCTTAAACTGTGAAAATTAAATAGCAATTATTGAACAATGTATCAAAATCTAGCGCCCTTTTGTTGTGTACTTGTGTACAATAATATTAAGGTATACATTAATTTATCTTGGTAAATTTAGAGTATACTTGAGTTTTATAAAAATATAAGATATTATTATTACTCCCTGCTATACAAACTACTTCAAATTGAAATTTGAGTACTGAATATATTTTGTTTTCATTTGTATAGTATAGAATGGATACATATTTGAATAAAAATATAATTTATTCAAAAAGTTTCAACCTAAATAGTGATTACTTATACAAATTATATAATCTTTAATTAAAGTAAAGAGTACCTGAGGGAAGTAATTTAAGGAAAGTTTTATAGCTATAAAAGTATTTAGTTATTTAACTGTAATGATTAGGGCTAATGACTTATAGTTTTAACATATTTATATTGGATGATTGCATTTTAACCATTTGAGTAATATGTACAAGCGTGTTTCAATTTTATTAATGTATTAAAAATAAAATTTAAAAATACATAACTAATATTTTTAAAATAATTTACAATTTTCATTTTAATATTTATGGTTTGAAGTACTTATAAATCATTGTATTACCTTTTTATCTATAGAATAATGTAATTTTTTTAATGTAATATTTCATTAATATTATAACCTACTTAAACTGAAAAAGGTTAGACTATAATATTTTCTAAAATGCTACATAAATTACATCTGTTCTTATTACTACATTTATAAACATATTAAAAGAATGATAATAAATACTTTTTATTTCATTTAAAAATAATACAATTTTTATTTCTAATTAAAAAGTAAATTTTAAATTGTATAACTTACATGCAATATTGCAAGGTTTAATTTTATTTGTAATTATTAAAAGCTAGAAGTCTTCCGCCTAAGTAATGAAAAAGAACCAGATGTTTATTTTCTTTTAAAACTTTAAAAAAAAAAATGCATTAATACACTTATAAATTCATTTTTGCCAATGTTACATTAAAAATACTCAAAGACAAAATGTCCGTATTAACTTTAATTTTACATAATACTTCAATTACTATTGTACCAATGCTTAGTAATATTGTTATTCTACGTCAAAAGAACAGGGTAGAGCCTCGACCTTATACATTTTAATGAATTGTAATTAATTCAAAATTGAAAGTATGAGCATTTATTCTTTTTAGAATCACCAATGATTAATTTTAATATATTATGATCTGCAACTAGTTTTACCCAACTTTTTAATAACTTTAAAACTGATCGTAAATGAAGTACCTATGTCTATAAGTTCAGTACATGTTTTAATTTATTTTCATTCATCAAATGTGTGAATTATTTTCATAGGTAAATTATAAAAAAACTGTTTAAAAAATATAATAACTGTAATACAAATTTCATAACACTAATAATTAAAATGATTCAATTATTATATTTCATAATAGAATATAAATATATTTTGTGCGCTTGTTAAACATAGACATATTCTGGATATACATTTTTTTTTTAATAATTTAAATGTGATAATATACGGACAATGACTTTTCATTAATGGTTGTTAATTGTTTATAATATCCCATTACAATATGTTTATTTGATCTTAACTATAGTTTGGTATGATGAATTGCAAAATAAAATAATAATAACAATAATAAAAAATAACTGTTCAAAAAATATACTTTAAAGGTAACATTTAGTTACCATGTATTATAATGCATTAGAAGTTTCTATGGCGATAAATCTCAATTTTTATGTGAGTAATATAGGAGAACTATGAGGTTTTGGAATAATTTTTTTATCATTATTTGAAACTTGAGAGATAATTTTATAATTTATTAAGTTATCGCGATTCTAAACTCATACAATTTCTGTCGATAGGTATAGTTTTATGATGAAGACAAATTTAGTTTTCCACAATTACTCAGAGTGATTTTTTTTAGTAGGTATATTGCCATGGTAAAGTGTGTGCCAGACAGTGAAAAATGACAATACATATTATTACATGGGTAGTGTCCTCTTTATGATTAATTTTCCACATGTCATTGAGACATCTATAAAATAGGATCGGGTGAATAGCCTTTATAAGTTAGCAATGTTTGATTCATTGTTATTTTCATAAATTGATATATGTACTTATAAATAAGATTGAATTTATTGCACTAAAATTATTATTATAATATGTTTTATGAAATTGCTTATTGCTGTCCAACATTCCAAATTATACAATATTGTCCAAAAACATCCAAAATTAATTTGAATTTAATTCATAAAATAACAGTAATAGTAGAAATAAATAAATAAAAATGGATTATTAATAAATTAATAAATTATAGTTTATTAGTTTGGTGTACAGTGTGTCCGATAAGTCCCGAATCACAATTATTATCTCTTTGATAAATCAATATATAATTTAAATGCATTTTTTTTTTGTGCTTAAAAATAGCAGAGTAAGCTAAAAATGTGTTTCATGATACAGAAAACTCAAATTAAAAATTTTTTTTTGTTTTTTTAGCATATTTTACGATTTTTAGTTGTTACTGCCTTTTTTGGGTTTTTGAGACGTTTTTGCATTTTTACTCATTTTTGAATCAAAAATTTTCATATTTTGTTGTTTTTATTGCATATTTTTAACGCATATTTAGCGATAGTTAAGGTCATATTATAGCCCATATTTATGCAATTTTAAATGCTATAAAATTCCAACCCTGCTAATAACTATTTAAATTATAATTGAATAGCAGATAAATCAATTTTTTTTTTTAAAATGTTTATGCAGTTTTGTTTTTAAATTTCCAAGATAGATTTCTTGAATCAATATTTAAAAAAAAAAAAAAATATTTAAATTGAATTGACCAAATAAAGTTGTTGAATTCGTATAAATAATACCTAATATGTTAGCAAAAAGGCAAAACACGAAAAGCATAATTTAACCAATATCGATTGGAAGGCGAATTTTTTTTTGAAAATCTGGTAACTATTAGTGAAGCTGTTCGAAAATATTTTAATTGCTATATTACATCTAGAGGATAACGCAATTTACCTGTTTCCAAAAAATCAAGACATTAGTCTGTTGATATAAAATTGTAGATAGGTGATTTTTGACGATCTGGATACTCAATTGTAAATTCCATGGCTTTGCAGCTTGTTTGAAACATTCATTGTTTCGGGACTTCGAGAGTAATATTTTACGATGCCGATGTAATCATGTACTGAGAACGTATATATCATTTTTAAATGTAAAACAAACAGGTTCCTGTGAAGTAGATTGTCATAAAAAAAAATCCTCGAGATTGAAATTAAATCACGTAATTTGTGTAATCGTGTTTTGCTTACAAAGTCAACAATTTGGTAGATTTTCTCTCAATTTCAATTTTTTTTTAAATTTTTAAAAAACTGATCAAGAAAAAAGCTATCTTGAAAATGTAAAAAACTTATTGCTTAAAAATAATTTAATCTTTTGCCATTGATTTAGAATTTACATACTTATTACTGTAAAAAAAAACCATTTAAATATATTATTTGCCACGGAGATACAATGTGATACGAACGGGGCTTTTGGGATATTCTGTATACTTATATTGTAATTAGGCATCGCGGCGCGTGATGCATTTAAAATGTGTTGTCAATCGTAGTTATTTTAGATCATTCAAAATAAAACAACGGATCTACCTAGCGATTTAAATTTACATAATACAATTATACAAGTGTATAATATTAATATCGTATTATAAATGGTATTCTACACGCTATGTAGAATTTTTTTCTTTAATGGTGTTAAATTTGTATAAAACTTATTTTTTTCTCTAAGTGGTACAAAAATTGACCCAAAATATAAACAAGATGTACAAATGTACAATATGCACCAACATTTTTGTAAAGCGTTTGTAATTTGCCCCAAAATATTATTATACCTATATAATTTACAACATCATAGACAAGTAAAAAATATGAAATGTAATTTGCAACAGAATTTAAATCGATTTTTCGTGGTTCTAGAATGAAAAGTTCATAAATCGTTTTTATGAGACTGTCCGACCAAGAAAGTAATTTAAAGGTTCGAGTTTTCTAATATTTTACTCCTTGAACAAGTTGAACACCATGCACTTTTTTATACTTGTACAGTTTAATTCATAAAATAATAATAATAATTTGCTGTATTAATTAATTTATTTAGTATACAAATTAATTGTTAACTAATTAATTTTACAAAAACAATAATTACAAACCAACATTGATATTTTATGTATTTTGCTTAATGGACAAATTTTTATTTATATATTTGTATTAATTTTTAATTATAAGATTCAATTTTCAAATGGGAATGAACAATGGTTGAATTTTCAACTTTTCAAGTTTAAATGTTATATATAATATTAAAAAATGCATATCTTTTAGTACAGGGTTTTTTTTATGCCGTATAAAATGTGCATAATACAAAAAAATATTATACCATACGTCCATACTCAAATATAATAGTATTATACAACATTTAATACATACGTATAATAAAAATTTAAAAAAGCCGTATTTTTACATTACTAGATTTACCTATAAACCAACAATGTTTTAATATAATCATATTATTATATTCTATTGATATAAAATACATTATAAATCTGTATAATTTTTTTTGATTGTTGAAAAATTGATAGAAAAATATAATTTAAATTTTCCCATTCATTAAAATTTTTTTTCATGACTAAATAATAACTAGGTACCTAACCTAATTTAATTGTTTTATTAGCTAAAAACCATAAATATGGAAATTTCGGGTGTTGCAAATTTATACTTTTGCTACCCCCAAATTACGCTACTGCAGGTACAAGCGTACAACGTATTTTAACCTTTATTATTTTCAAATAATTAAAATTGTACAATCGCAATAAAAAAATTCTTTTTAATTGAAGCGCTAGGATTATTTATCATTGATAACATTATTATTATAAACATAATACTATATTTAAATTATGTGTGTAGGATTTATTGATTTTGAAATTTTAGATGTGTACATTTCGAGTTTTTTGCTTTTCCAATATATTTTTTTTTATACTTTTTTTATGGACAGGACGTGTGCGTGAAAAGGGTGTAATTGAACTCCCTCTTTGAATGAGTCATCTTTCATAAACAGCCCATGCGTAACAAAATTAAATATGTATATAGTATATATTGTATATAATGATAATAATATGCTGATAAACCATAAACCATAGTAACGTAGGTATTTATAGTATAAAACAATTATTAACTTTTTTAATTTAGTACTATCCTAAACCAGAATTTAATACTGCATTACTGCCATACAAATGATTTATGTATACCTAATATGATCAGGTGATATACTGATATATAATATTATGTACCACTGTACATTTGTACCTATGACTTAAAAAAAATGATTTTTTAATAATAAATAATAAATAATTAAGAAAATAAATAGGTATTCAATATACCGTATTACCGTAATTAAGCTTTAAGCGTATATCGGTCGACTGTAATAATGTAGGTTAGGTATATAATATTATACACATGTTTTAAATTTGAATATGCATTTTTGTGTAGGAACCCAAAAATATATAATTATAAAATAACCGTTGGCAGCTTGTACTATATACCTACTCATAATTTACTTTTTAAAACTGGAAGACACGCTTAAGATGTGTAATAGGTTGCGAGTGTAGGTACTAGGTATACCTAAATTGTAATTTCAGTATAGATCACTGTAATGGATGTTTAAATTTAAATTCAATGATAAATAACTGTATGTTTAGGTATAGGTACTAAAAAATGATTCTGGCCGATAGATGATAATATATAATCTATTATTATCGATAGTTTATGTATTTTATATTAGGTAATATTATTTATATTATTTTCTTAATTCACTATAGGTTGAAACTTAAGTTGGACTAATGTTCTCTAAAACATCGCATTTAAATTGTAAGTTATAACTAGGGTTCGGATTTGAAGGCAATATAATCAATAAAAAAAGCATTTAAAATGTAAAAAAAGGCATTTAATTTATATAAAAAGGCAATTCATAAATATACTACAAAATAAAATAGTGAACATTTTTTAAACACTTTTAAATGCACACATTTTGAGAAAAATACAAATTAAAAATGAGCATGAATACTAAACTACATTAAGTTTATGCTATTTTGTATAAATAGATTAGGTACCTTTTTCTTTAACCAGGTTTGTCCTAAGAATTAGTTAAAAACAATTTTAAATATTAACTTACTTGAGTTATACCAGTTAATTTAATGCAAAATAAACAAAAGGTAAAAAAAGGCAAAAAGGCATTTATAAGTAAAAAGGCAAAAAAAAAAAAAGATCCATTCTCTAAGAAATTAAATGAAACACATTTTTGTATAAAAATTATTTTTCTATTATGATTAATAAAAAAAAGGCATTTGCCTTCAAATCCGAAGCCTAGTTATAACATACAAGTTACAAGTAAATGCGCCAATAATGCGGGATACTCGCGCGTACCAATTGTAGAATTGTTGTGTGAATAGGTTCGTGGTATAAATAACTTATAATTATGTACATAATATATAATATATATATATTGAAAATTTCATTGGATATAGAAAATTACAATATAAGCAGTTATTGAGAAAAGTCTACAATTTACACTAGGATCCAATTTTGACAATATTTGAACTTCAAAGTTCAAACGTTTAAAAAAAAATTGTGAATACCTGTGTATTTACTTTATACGTTTAATGATGTAACTACCTGTAAGAATTACTTATGAGGAACCTTGTTGTATGTTTTCAAAACTTTTTGACCAACAAACAACATCATTGTATCAATATAAATAGAAAAAAACTAAAAAGTGGTATACATTTCCATGAATAACTGAAAAAGCCAAAATCTTTTGAAACTTATAATTTCAAGAAAAATCTTATATAATTTATGAAAATGTCAAGTCTTTATACGCTTATCATATAGTCCTTTCAAATTACCTACTACAAAAAAACTAAATTGGTATTGTAGAAAACTGGCGTTGCGTAAATATTCTTGTTTCCCCGATGTTTTTGTTTGTTATTCTCGATTATTATGAAAAGTCTCGGGAGTTGGGATTTTCCTATTTTTGACACTTTAGTGTCAACTTTGAACTTAATTAAATATTCTACCAGATCCTCAAAATTGAGGATTAAACCATCCGTCAGACTTTATTTCTAAAGATATTTAATTTTATATTTATAATTTATATTGATTTTTCATAGGTATTAGCATTTAACCTAACCTAATTTATTATAAATAGTATGTATAATCAATGGTATTAGTAATTTATTTTTCTATTAATATATTTACTAATACGTTTACACGTTAGGGTGGGTTAGTTTGAACTAAAAAAAAATAACACAAAAATAGCCAAATATTATAACAAATCTAGAAAATACTACCTAACTTAAAGATTTTGTGCAAAAAAATCAAGTCTTTACATGGTTATTAATTATATAATAACAAAAAAATTCAATTTTTTCAAAATTTTTTGCCAAAGTACCAACTTGATCCAATTTTTCACCATAAACTACCGTTAAAGTTGAAGTATGTTTACTGTTCCTAGTGGACACGTCTTTGTAATAACAATAGTCAATAGGTACATTATTCATTGAACCGCTCAGAATGAAAAATCGTTTTTAATTTGTACATTTATTCTCAAATGGTAAAATAATGTCAAAATTGTCCAAACACAATATCGTATGTAATATATAAAGCATACACACATTATTATAAAAAGTATCTTTTTTTTAACAATAGAATAGGATTATTGTTTCAACCTTTGTTTCTCGCTGGTTTTAACTACCTATACGGCTTAATACGCATACTATGTCTGCATAATACTATATTAGTATAATAATAATATCTAATTTATAACAGTAATTGGTCAAACGTTAACATTTAATAACATTAAATGTTGTTCGCGATCACGCGGGTGGGATGAATTCCCCTTTAGGCTTCATCGATTATATTTCCTCAGTCCACCCCACCCTTCACCAGACCTTGAACAACACCCGCAACCCTTCCCAACGTTGGCGACCGTGTACTTTCCACTACTTGGACACAAATGCAGTGACGACTGACGAACACAGCCGCCGCGCCACACAACAATGTGTCATTCTATATCGATCTCTCGTTTTCAATATTATTATTATTATTATGTTAAACATTTTTCAACAATAAAATTGCATACAAAAACGAAAATGCTGCGCTCGGGATATTTTTATCGACACAACGGCACAATGCCTTTTGTGAGCCGCCGCTGAATTGTAAACAATCCGCCTTCTCTTATAGTTGTCGGTCCAACACGGTAGATGGCGCACAAAGGCACCGTCTGCATGAGTGTCGATATATACGCAAGAACGGGATTTAACAACTACACACCCCTAAGGCTTAAACCACAGTCCACAGTAGTGGGTAAACAGCCTGCAGTGCTGTTGTAGTTGTAAATCGTTTTGGATTAGTGATCGTCGTCGTCGTTGCGTGTAGTGTGTTAGATAATATTTAAATGCGCCCACCTACCTATTGGTTATTTTAATTTAACCGCAATTTCCAACATCTGACTCCGTTTAAATTATAATATTTTATCGTTGTGATTTGGTTACACTAGTCGAGTACTAAAAATCCACCCTGTAATCACTGAAAATGTATATATAATGTTTTAAAGGTAGACTAATATTGTTATATATATATATATATATATAGATTATTTTTAGACAACACTGTTCTAAGTTCTACCTGTGTGTTATAGATCTTTAAGATATCAAAGTTCAATTAATAACAGCAAACAAACTATACCGTTAAATAATCATTTAAAACATGGGTAAGATAATATTGTTTTTTTCATTTAAAATAAATATAATTCATTAGGGGTTAGTCTAATTTACTGATTTACTGATTTACTGATTTACTGATTTAAGGCCATAGCGCCCGTAGCATGGGCAAACTAAGTCCGAATAAGTTCAAACTTCACAGGTGCCATTATAATACCCCCCTCCAACTCCCTACCAAATTCCAGGTTGCCCCGTCGATTTTCACTTCCGGGTTACTTGTCGCAGAAATATCACAAACTTAAAAACTTAACCAAAAATTATGAAATTTTTTACTCGGCATAAGTTGTACCGTATTTAAATATGGGGAAAATCTCAAGTGCCTACCTCGAAAACCCATGCAGTTATAAGACAAATCAGTAATTTATTCACATACATAATCGAATCAGTAAAATCACGCGCCGCCGTCCAGGAAAACTGCTGATTTGCTCTTACACTCGCAATACTTAACCAAAAATTATGATATTTTTTTGCACGGTACGTGTTGTACCGTATTTAAATATGGGGAAAATTTCAAGTGCCTACCTCGAAAACCCATGCAGTAATAAAACAAATCAGTAATTTATTCACATAATCGAATCAGTAAAATCACGCGTAGCAGTGCAGGAAAACTGCTGATTTGCTCTTACACTCGCAATACTTAACCAAAAATTATGAAATTTTTTACACGGTAGGGATTGTACCGTATTAAATACCTTGGAAATTTCAAGTGCCTACCTCGAAAACCCATGTAGTTATAAAACAAATCAGTAATTTATTCGCATAATCGAATCAGTAAAATGACGCGCCGCCGTCCAGGAAAACTGCTGATTTGCTCTAAAACCCGCAATAGTATATAGAAAATTATGAAATTTTTTACACGGTATCGGTTGTACCGTATTTAAATACCTTGGAAATTTCAAGTGCCTACCTCGAAAACCCATGTAGTTATAAAACAAATCAGTAATTTATTCACATAATCGAATCAGTAAAATCACGCGTAGCAGTGCAGGAAAACTGCTGATTTGCTCTTACACTCGCAATAGTTTATAAAAAATTATGAAATTTTTTACACGGCATGAGTTGTACTGTATTTAAATACTATGGAAATTTCAAGTTCCTACCTCAAAAACCCATTCAGTTATAAATTATAATGCAGTTCAGTAATTTGTTGACATAAACAAATCAGTAAAATGATAAGAATCCTGTATGTTATGTTGCATTACAACATTTCTAGGGCACTTACTAAAATAATGCAATTATTACACATTATAAGAATAATATATATTTTAATATTTAATATGATCATTATAACATAATAATATAGCACTAGACAATGACTTAGGATTTATCTACATCCCTAAAATTACAATTAAAATTAAAGGTTTGTCATGGGCTAAGGTTAGCTCTTCTTTGGATTTTTTTTTAATTTTGAATGTAGCATTGTACAACTAGTGCATATATTTTAAGTGCATTATTATGACAACTGGCTCATTTATTATATTGTTAAAATGTTTTTAGAGAATTGAATTATTTGGGAATTTGCCTTCATAATAATGTGTCTTAACATAATATAATAATAATAAATGGGCTGAGCAACTTGTTTTACAAAATATCAATAAATGAAAATCAGTTGTACCTTTTAGTACCTGTAGTGTTTTTACAGTGTTATAAGCGGCAATTTTGGCACCCAAATTTGTATCTCTTGTGTTTGGAAATTAATTATGAGGGTTAGACATTTTTCTCAAATGTACTTCTTACAAAATAAGTCCCTACCTATACAATAGTTACTAAAATAAAGCAACGTATTGCACTTGAGTGTGACTTAGAATTCATCCATATAGATACCTGAAACAAAAAACTCATGCGGTTGTATGTACCTCATTTAAATCAGAGCCGTCATACCCAAATAAGTATAATTATTAATTTCTCTTTATGTGCCAATGAGTATATTATAGTAATTTACACTTTTCATTTTTAAGTTAATCTTTATCATACAATGTACCTAAGTTTCGATATAAAGATGTATGTATAAAGTATGCAGCAATTATTGTTTTTTTTTTACCAATAAATTACAATACTTAATGAATTGTTGCTATATTGCTTTCAAATTGTATGTAATTAAGTCCAGTTTTTATAACAACATATTCAAATTTGGTTTATACAGTTTTTCTAAAATATATTGCTATAATATACCATCACTAAGAAAAGTAATTAATTGAAAGCTTAAGTTTTTGTTTAATTTGTTAAATTGTTAAATATATATAGTCTTGTTTAACCTAAAAGTGTTATAAACTATAATAATTTGTTTAAACTTAAATACAAAACTGCAAACTCAAGTCAACCAAATAAGGCTGTCAAAATAATCAATTATTAAACATTATTTCAGCTTAAAAAAATTAAAAACAATTAACAATACACAAAAAGAAATGTTTACTTACTTCATTACCTATTATTTCATAATTCATAGATATTTATTTATAATATAACATAGCATTTATTTATATAATTTATGATATATTGATTATAAAACAAATTAATTTTATAAATTACACTGGTACAAAGTCATAAATATTACTCATATTACTTATAAGTTATAACTCATAGATACCTACAGTATTTTGAAGATACTCTATAAAATGCACACAATTTCTTTCATCTATTTTATTTTTTTTATTCGGTGCAAAGTTATATAGAGTGTTGTATAACATTGAACCACGATAGCGGATATATTATACTATAATGTGTACGATGCTTTGTACCAACATTAAAACTCTCTTGATTTCACTTCTAAGCAAAAATTCCTCAATATTTATTGTAGAAAAGATCTAAAAAAAGGTGGGTAAGTGGATGTCGCTCTGCTGTACTGTAGGTTACAAGTGGGTCACTGTATAATGGATGGTTTAAATTTGAATGCAATGATATAATATCATTGTATAAGAAAAACGATTCTGAGCGGAGACGATATGTCGTCTAGATATAAGACATATTATATACTTTTCTATGGTATTAAATTATATTTAATTTATGAATAAATTCCTTAAAATATGCACAGTCTTATCATGAGCATAATTCTTCTTCCTTATACTATGGTAGGTTGTATGGATAGGCCATAATATTTTGATTTTTCAGTTTCATATATCCCCGAATTATATTTTTGAATTACAACAAAAACAAAGATCATTAATATTGATTTTAATATGTAATTTCATCCAAATTTGAATTTAAAATGTCTGTAAAAATAGCTGTGTTCATATATTTTTTATATTTTTTGGTTACAGTATGAACTATTTATGAGAACCTTTGTTTTAAATTTGCAATCTTTAGCTATAAAAACTGAACATTTTATAATTTATTCATTACAATGATTGATAATTTTCGAGATTTTGATAAATTTTGTCAAAATTCAATGTTTAAATGCTTATAAAAAAAAATTGTGCCTATATATTTTTAATATTTTTCAATGGCTACTGTAACAATACCTATATCAGGAACCTTGTATTAAATTTTTACACTTTTTGGCCCAACAGATAAAATTTTATTGATATTTATGGAAAAAAAAACTAAAAAAATTTAAAACTGAAAATGTCCGTAAACAGCTCAAAAAGAGTCGAAATATTTTCAAAATTATACAGTGTATAGGAAATGCTAATCTGAACATTCAGTGAAATTTTCATGTATCTATAAATATTCGTTTTTGAATTACAACAAAATAAGAAAATCGCTACATGAGAAATCAAGTGAATATCCAATGTTGTAAAAATTTGAATTTCAAACGCTCATAAAAATTTAATTTTTTGTATATTTAACAGTTTTGTATTTAAGTTTAAACAAATTATTATAGTTTATAACACTTTTAGGTTAAACAAGACTATATATATTTAACAATTTAACAAATTAAACAAAAACTTAAGCTTTCAATTAATTACTTTTCTTAGTGATGGTATATTATAGCAATATATTTTAGAAAAACTGTATAAACCAAATTTGAATATGTTGTTATAAAAACTGGACTTAATTACATACAATTTGAAAGCAATATAGCAACAATTCATTAAGTATTGTAATTTATTGGTAAAAAAAAAACAATAATTGCTGCATACTTTATACATACATCTTTATATCGAAACTTAGGTACATTGTATGATAAAGATTAACTTAAAAATGAAAAGTGTAAATTACTATAATATACTCATTGGCACATAAAGAGAAATTAATAATTATACTTATTTGGGTATGACGGCTCTGATTTAAATGAGGTACATACAACCGCATGAGTTTTTTGTTTCAGGTATCTATATGGATGAATTCTAAGTCACACTCAAGTGCAATACGTTGCTTTATTTTAGTAACTATTGTATAGGTAGGGACTTATTTTGTAAGAAGTACATTTGAGAAAAATGTCTAACCCTCATAATTAATTTCCAAACACAAGAGATACAAATTTGGGTGCCAAAATTGCCGCTTATAACACTGTAAAAACACTACAGGTACTAAAAGGTACAACTGATTTTCATTTATTGATATTTTGTAAAACAAGTTGCTCAGCCCATTTATTATTATTATATTATGTTAAGACACATTATTATGAAGGCAAATTCCCAAATAATTCAATTCTCTAAAAACATTTTAACAATATAATAAATGAGCCAGTTGTCATAATAATGCACTTAAAATATATGCACTAGTTGTACAATGCTACATTCAAAATTAAAAAAAAATCCAAAGAAGAGCTAACCTTAGCCCATGACAAACCTTTAATTTTAATTGTAATTTTAGGGATGTAGATAAATCCTAAGTCATTGTCTAGTGCTATATTATTATGTTATAATGATCATATTAAATATTAAAATATATATTATTCTTATAATGTGTAATAATTGCATTATTTTAGTAAGTGCCCTAGAAATGTTGTAATGCAACATAACATACAGGATTCTTATCATTTTACTGATTTGTTTATGTCAACAAATTACTGAACTGCATTATAATTTATAACTGAATGGGTTTTTGAGGTAGGAACTTGAAATTTCCATAGTATTTAAATACAGTACAACTCATGCCGTGTAAAAAATTTCATAATTTTCTATATACTATTGCGGGTTTTAGAGCAAATCAGCAGTTTTCCTGGACGGCGGCGCGTCATTTTACTGATTCGATTATGCGAATAAATTACTGATTTGTTTTATAACTACATGGGTTTTCGAGGTAGGCACTTGAAATTTCCAAGGTATTTAATACGGTACAATCCCTACCGTGTAAAAAATTTCATAATTTTTGGTTAAGTATTGCGAGTGTAAGAGCAAATCAGCAGTTTTCCTGCACTGCTACGCGTGATTTTACTGATTCGATTATGTGAATAAATTACTGATTTGTTTTATTACTGCATGGGTTTTCGAGGTAGGCACTTGAAATTTTCCCCATATTTAAATACAGTACAACACGTACCGTGCAAAAAATATCATAATTTTTGGTTAAGTATTGCGAGTGTAAGAGCAAATCAGCAGTTTTCCTGGACGGCGGCGCGTGATTTTACTGATTCGATTATGTATGTGAATAAATTACTGATTTGTCTTATAACTGCATGGGTTTTCGAGGTAGGCACTTGAGATTTTCCCCATATTTAAATACGGTACAACTTATGCCGAGTAAAAAATTTCATAATTTTTGGTTAAGTTTTTAAGTTTGTGATATTTCTGCGACAAGTAACCCGGAAGTGAAAATCGACGGGGCAACCTGGAATTTGGTAGGGAGTTGGAGGGGGGTATTATAATGGCACCTGTGAAGTTTGAACTTATTCGGACTTAGTTTGCCCATGCTACGGGCGCTATGGCCTTAAATCAGTAAATCAGTAAATCAGTAAATCAGTAAATTAGGCAGTACCATTCATTAGGTACTCATAGACCAGTTTTAAAATAATAGAATAACAAGCTGCAGGTATAGATACAATTTTTAATGCCATTTCAAGAAAACTGTTCAAAATTATATTTTATTTGTCTGTATAATTTACTTATCTAATGTTTTTAGAGTTAAATTTCAAATAAAATAATAAAGTATTTCATAGGTATAGAAATTATTAAAAACTATACATTTTTTTTCATTGTTTAATATTATTTTTATTAATTTAAATTTCATATATTTAATATGTATCATTGTATTAAATATTATTTGTTTTATTTTTTTATGATAGAATTATTTCAATCGATGGACTTGATGCAAATATAAATGATTCAAATAGTCAATTGGCAATCAAACAACAAATCAAGGTATTAGATTAGATATTACATATTTTTAATAAATAACATAATTGTATAATAGTACAATAATTGTGTTATTTTATTTTAGCTGAACCGATTCAATGTGGGCCCAGACGGGGGCTCATCAAGTCTTGGCCCTGATGTTAGTCCTCCAACTAGCCCTCCAGAACCTACACCTGTAGCCCCTGTTTATAAAGTAGTTACACGTAACCATGTCAAGAAGTCAGACAGCGGACAGCAAACCGAGTTAAATAATTCAAGCTTAAGGTATATTTAATTAAAATGTTTTTTCCTTCAATATTTAATTGTATTATTAATGATTTTAATTTCATATTAGGCAATCTTCACAATGGAAGAAGTACATTGAAGCTGGCAAAAATGCAGAACAAATTAGATCAAATGATTTTGAAAGAGTACGGGACAAACAAAGTCCAAGACGAACTGATAAAAAACGGTCAACTGGTAATAAAGAAACTTTTATATAACCAAAACTATTGATTATTAAAATATTGGAAATATATTATTTAGATGGATCTCGTGAAGACTTGCATAACATGGACTATATGGAAAGAAAGTCCAGGAGTGACAAAATCAAAACTCGAGGTAGTGTCCCTCAAAGCTTTGGTTATGTTAAACGATCCACATCCAGCTCCAATGGTAAAGGTGACCCAAGAACAGCCCAAGTTTCAGCCGTTCCTAGGACTAAAGTAATTAAAAATAACATTTATATTTTATATAAATTATATGTATAGTAAGAATATAACTTAAATTTAAGGTGAAAGTTTCCGGCGGTACTCAAACTGATATGAAGACATACTCAGTAAGTGGACCAAGTGCTACTCAACTGTCACAAAGTGTCAGGGAACGACTTATGGCTAATCAATCTGAACAAGAAGCTAAAATTGGTAGCCCATATGGAACATGGATGAGACACAGTCCTGTTCCACCTCACTATACAGCTTCTCTGCCTTCTAGGACTGGTGCTATAGGTACCTATAATTTGTATTACTAAAAGAAGAATGTAAAATAATTTCACAATTTAATTCTTATAGGAGGTATGATTGAAGCTGAGAGCATTGAATCACTTCCTGCACAATTACATCATAGAGCAAGTTTAACCCATTCACGATTAATGACTTCTGCATCTCCAAATACTAGTCCATCACCTAACCAGGCAAACAGAATATCAAGGAGCAATAGCATCAGGTTTGTGTACAATTGTTTTGTGATATAATATATTTAAAAAAAAAATAATTATTTATTAATATTAATTTTTAATACATTACCTATGGCTAAATGAATAATTTTGGGGAAATTTAATGCTGTCAATTTATTTGCAGCTACCTAAGAGATCGGACATTTCCAAGGTAGGCAAATAGCCAAAAAATTGCACTTTCAATATTGAATATTTTTACACGATTGTTGCTTTTCAGTTTTTCACTTCTGAGGAATATTATTTTAGCTTATTACGATCACTAATAAATTATAAATGATATATTTTATTTATTTTTGAACAATTCATTATTAAAACTATTCTTTTAGATCAACAAAGTCAGAAAAACTATATCCGTCTATGTTGCAACGTTCAGATGATCCAGATTCATACTACAGTATACCTTATGCATCTTCTAATCGGTCTGAACATCGCACTTATCCCCATGCCTCACAACCAACTAGCCCAACACCAGTTAGTCGTTATAATTATCAATCTCCTCAACCGAACCATAGATCAGTAATTTCATCACCATATGCTGCTTCTATAATGAGTAAAATCAATACAAAAGATGATGATGGTAAGTGTATATATAAATAAATGTTTGAGCTTTAAAGAAATCCATATTATGCTTGTTTTTTTTTCAGCGCACGGATCAGCTTTGAGTCTGATATCAACTGGATCATCATCTTTGTATAGTGGAATGGGTGCAGATGAAAAGCATGCACAAGAAGTCAGGCGTTTAAGAAGAGATTTAAGTGAAGCGCAAGATAAAGTTCATACATTGACGAGTCAATTATCAACAAATGTAAGTAATAAGTTAATTTTTATTATGCATAGTTTTTCTGTATGATTTTTGATATTTTTTATGATGTATAGAATATAGTTTTTCATACAAATATTAGTAATAAGACAATGGAAAATATGATTTTGGTCAATATGCTGTCAACCATAAACATTGTTTATGTTAATAATAATATGCTTAAGTACATATTATTATATATATATTTCAATTACAAACATTTAATTTAACACAAAATATATTTCAATCTTTATTTGAGGATACTATTATAGTTTATCTTAGTTATATTTGAACTTGAGATAGTGCTTGAAATAATTTTTTAGAATTTACACTGTTTTTATACACCATTTTAGATTCTGAGTGGAGCCATGCATATATTGATTTTATAATGATGTGGTTTTTTTTTTTGTGTGTGACACCATTTGGGGCATTAAAACTGCTTTGATTTTCTTCAGTAGTCTTGTTTGATGATATACATAACATTTTCACTGGTTTCTTATATTAGCTTTTTCTATACACGATAAAATTTTCAAAATATTTTGATATGTTTTAAACTGTTTACGACATTTTTAGTTTTTTTTCTATAATTGTCTATAAAATTGTATTTGTTGGGTCAAAACATTGAGTAAACTGTAAAAATGTAACACAAGGCTTCTGATATATTGTTACTATAGCAGTTGAATAATATAAAAAATACACACAATTTTTTTTACAAGCATTTAAATTTTCGAATTTTGGTAAATTTATCAAATTTAAAATTTAAAAATTATTTTGTAGTTAAAATGTATAAAATGTTCAACTTTTATAACTAAGGATTGAAAATTTAAAACAAAGTTCCACTTAAATAGGTTATCTATAAATTACTGTATTCACAATTATATCATCAAATATACTTAGTAATATCATAGACCGACTGACCGTCTTCGCTCAGAATCGTTTTTCTTATACAATGATATCATATCATTGAATTCAAATTTAACACAATCCATTACAGCGACTCAATTGTAACCTCTGTATAGCATAGTGACACCCACTTCCACACTTGTTTTTAAATTGTATATCTCCTATTTACTTTATTTCGTGTTTGCAATTTAACTAACCATAGTAATGAATATAAAAAAAAAAAAATTTATAAAGTTTTAGGGGTTAAGGATAGGTAATTTAAGATATTCATAATAAAATAAACTGATATAGTTTTCAATTATATTATGTTAATTAGTTAAAAAAAAAATACTAATATATAAAAATAAAATAAAATAGAAGCTTATAATTGTATTAGTAATATTTCACAGAAACACAACAAACATGAAATATTTATAATAATAGTTTTGTTAAAACTTAAAAGGGTTTTAAACTGCTTTTAAATTCTTCAACATTATCAATATACATACAATTTTCATTTTCTTCCAGACACATTTTTTTAGGTGGACTTTCATCGTTCAAATCGTCTGTATTACTATGGCCAATAATTTCAACACTGAATGCACGACCATTTAAAAACCCTTGTTTTAGATTTTTAACATCATCATATGTCATATTCTTCAGTGCTTCTATTTCTATTTCTAATCTATTAAATTTGAAACGTCCTTCCAAAATTTCATTTAAATGTCTATTAAATTCTTGTTCTAAGCAATCATCGGGTGCATCTTTTAATGCAATTAATGCATCTTTAACTTTATCGACTTCATCTGGATCGTTAAAGTTTTCCCAAAACTGTTTCAAAAATTCGTCCATTCTATTAAATACATATTGTGTTTCAAATTTATCTTTTTGATGTGCCACCTTAAAATAAAATCCATAATGGTGGTAAGTAGCTATTACATCCAGTTGTACATCATAGCCTAGACATTGTTTTGTTCGTAATTCATTAAATGCTGATTCTTCCATCATTGACTGTAGCACATGATACTTTACAGAATCTTTGATTTCATTTTTATCAAACTGATAATATTTATAAGCCATCGAGTTGTTATCTTTTGGATTATAGTTTGCCATTTTCACTCTGAAATCACCTTGATTGAGCCGTTTTATCAACACAGTTGGAAAACATTCTTTGGCTAAAGGCTGGTAATTTAACATAATTACAACTTTTTTTGAAACATAAATAGCTTGGGTCCGACTTATATTTCCTTGTATTAATGCCCTACAATATAAATTGTTGAGTTGTTCATAAAATGTAAGAATTTGTTTGTATTCCAATGTTTCTAAACATTTTAGTCTTTTGTCTAAGTACCAAGCAGGGTCTTGAATCAAACTATTTTTTAAATCAGTTGCAGCATAATCTAAATCATATTGATTATTTTTAAGACTATTGATAGCTTTAGACTTTATCATGGTAAATATGTCCTCAGTCATTAAGCTTGTATAGTTGTTTAAACAACTTATTACGATGTCTATAAGTAAGGGTAGTTTCTCATTAAAACCATTAAATACCAATTCAAAGCCAGTTTTAAATACTCTAATGCTGTAATTGAGTTGAGCTATTACTGCTGGATATGTCTCTTCATTTGACAAAAACACAATAGAATCAAAAAACAAATCCATACACATATAGTTATCCAATGATTTTGAAGGTAGCGGAGTAATAAAATAAAACATTATATAGCTTTTGGGAAGTTTAAAATGGTTATCTTGTTTGTACCATAATTCAAAATGATCGTTTTCAAATATTTTTTCTGGATATTTTGTATCTGTACTTTGGGATAAAATTGAAAAGTTTTTGGTTAAATATTGATTATCACTGGGAATTTTAAAACACGGATGAGGCGCAATAGATGACAGTTTACTTTCTAATTCTTCTGTTAAACTTTCAGCTAAATATTTTGTTCCAAAGATTGGGTCCTTTATAAACACATCTGAGTTATCAAATTCTTTAGCCAGTATAAAAATGGCCACACGGTCTACTGTTAGTAAGTTTAAAAACTTTGCTATTGTTTCTGGTGAATATTCATAAAGTAATACCGGACCACATATATAATCTTCTTCATCATACCACAACATGTTTTGAGAAAGTTCTTTTACGTGATCTATGGCTGTTTTATTTTCAGCAAAATTAAAGTCATTTTCTGCCAAAATTTGAATTTGATTAAAAATATTTTCAGATATTCCTTTTTCTTTGATTAATTTCAAATAACTAAAAGTCAGTTCAATAATTTCATTAACATTTTGTAAACCTAAATCGGTCAGTTCAATCGTTATGGAAAATAAACTATAAATGCTATTACTATTAAAGTCGTCTCCAACTCCAGCTTCTAGTTCCATCGCATAGTTTAACTTTTTCAAATAATTAAACAGTGTTCCTTTACCCTCGTGACCTACTACCCACGCAATGTATTCTAATGGTTTAATTTTATAAAGCTCAATAGTTGGTGGTAAATACCAAGTAAATATTATACTTTTAGTAGAACTTACTGATATAATTTTGAAGATTTTGTGAAAAAGGTCTGGACAGAATGGATCTTGACTAATTTTAAATACTGGTGGTGGGAGGTTATCTGTTGGTACTTCACTAAATAAATTATCAATCCACTCAACCATATCATGTGTTGATTGTTTACTTTGAACCGCTAGAGTCATGCGGCTGGCTGAGTAATGATTTTTCCAAAAATCCACAACCATTTCATTCAAATTTTCATGATTTAGAGTATCCAAGTTTCCCCAAGAAAATTTTCCAGCCGGATTGTCTTTATCAGCACATATTGATATTAATCTAATACAAAATTTTAAAATTATAAATTGTGTTTAGTTAAATAATTTTTTAATATTGTACAAACCTCTGTATACGACTATCATCATCTGAAATTACCATTTGAAATTCTGAATCTACAACTTGCTTTTCTTTATCTATAGATTCCTTTGCTAATTTAGGTGCCTGAAACATACTAGCAAAAATATCTGACGCTTCTTGAGAATATTCCATGGGCACTTCAAAATGGTAATTTGTGTATTCGCATCCAGTTTCAGCATTAGAAGAACCGGATTTTCGATACAAAAATTTATCGAAATGATTATCTGCTGGGTAACGTTTACTCCCCATTGATACCATGTGTTCCAATAAATGTGCCAGTCCTTGTGCATCAATAGGATCGCTAAAACTGCCATTATGAACACACAGAGACATTGCAAATGAGTCACTTTTTTCTTTTTGTGTTTCTTCTTCATCACTTGAATAGGACTCGTCAGTCAATGAATCATCATTTTCATCTGTACTAGTATCAGAACTAGCCGTGAACTCGCGCTTGATATTTGTAGTAGTTTTACATCCATTATCTGGCTGACTGATTAACATGCATTTCATACCATTTTTTAATTTATGCAACAAATAATCTTTTTTATTACTCAAACCTTTGCGTATAATCTTCTCTACATTAGCCATGATACTTACTCTATACTGTATAATAAATAAAATTTGTTTGACTAAGTAACAGTAGAATAGTAGAATAAAAAAAACTACAGAGGTACTAACAATAAAATCACTCAGATAGTTCTATACTTATGTAGTAGATACGATCAAATATTTATTAAAACATTCTAAAACTTTAAAAAGTAAAAACAATATGTGATTTTGTATTTTTGTAAAAAAATAAATGTGATAAGAAATCAATAGTTTGATTTGCGGGTTTGCGGCTCGAGGCAGAGCCAGTGTTGCCGCAGTAAATTATTACAGTGGTACCAATATTTTTAAAATCTTGATTAAGATTATCAGCTATAATTTCTTATCACGGGACCCAACCTGTCCCCATTCCTTTTTCCGTCCCCTTCAAATTAGATCTTAATGAATAACTAATAAGAAATTTAAATCTTCGGGTACGCAATAATTTTTTTGCATCCTTTTTCTATTTTTTTCTAATTGGAGCACTGGAAATAAAAATAATAACCAATAAATACACAATATCATATAAAATTATTGGAGAGTGAATTGGGATTTATTAGTTTACACCCAGGGAGTGAATTAGGAATGAGCAACTTGGATAAATTATTTAAAGTAAAGACGTCGTATATATTTTACGTCTTAAATACGATACCGCTATTTTAGTAAAGACGTAAATATA